AGGTTACAGTGTTAGTCAGACCTGGTAAAATGAACTCTTGCTTTCTCTTTTATAGATTCCATCTTATAGTAAATTTGTTTATACAACTGACTTCTGAAGCACTATTTCGGGTTGGCTTCTGAGTGTAAGTTTGTTAAATGCCTTCAAATTCAACACTACGTTTACCCTTTGTTGTTGTTATCTCTTTCTATTGGCTAAGTTAGTATTTATGTTAAATTGGTTGATAATTTGTATGTGTCCCAAGATTTAGTTTTGCTCCATTAATTAGTCATTATCTTGCATAGAGAAAACTGGAATAAGAGTAGCTGCAGAACTGAGGTGTTACTTAGTTGTTTTTCCATAAATCACTTTCACTAGAGCATTTACTTGTACTTGAGAAGTGGAACATTTGTTGCACAGCAAGCTAGTCACATTTGTTCTAGAAATCTCTAATGGCGTAATGTTCCACTGCAGGCTTTCCTCAACGAGGATGAAGGTCCCCGTCGATGCAAGTCTTCAAAGATGGGTACTGGACTGGTTCAATGACGCTGTGTGGCTGGTTCTATGTCACTATTGGTGCTCAGAGGAGTTCAAGACAAAATGGAAGATAGGACAGGAATGTCGCTTCATTTCTGATGATATTGCTCAAAACCATGGAGGGTCTAGACCCTTCACAGAGACACAACAAGTTCTGGTATGTTATGTGTATGTGTATCTTTGACTTAATATTTGCATACAAATGTAAACATGTCTATTTTGATGCTGCTCATTAACTATTTGTATTTGTTGGCACATAGGTTTGGACAACATAAGAAAACCCCTATTAATGCATTTGTTGCGATGAAATCTGGCATGAAAAATGTGGATAGCAGTGGTAATTGTGGTCCGATCAATAACAACAAAGCACAACAAGAGCATAACATACCAGAACTTGTTGTGTTATCATGCACTTATACTTACTGCCTAATTTTCATAGATCTGATTCCGTAAAAATTGGTAGCACTGTTCTGTTCTCACATGACTTGATATCAGCACATATTTTTCTAATATTGTTGAGTGGCATTGATGACAAATGGGAATTGTATGATTTTTTTCCTTATGAATGAATAAATATTAAATGAAACAATAAGATTAGTATTTTTTAAGACGTCTTCTGTAAGACTGTAATATTGCTTGATGATAAATTTTGTGACCATTATTTGAAATTAGTGATTTGTTCTGAGTGTATGCTTTGATAGATCTATGGTACAACTACAAGTACACCTTGGGATGGACAATTGGTGGTACATTTTTGTTTATGTATGGCTAATTGGTAGTACATGCTAAAGGCAAATAATCTCTTTGCTTCCATCTGGAATGTGTTTACCTACTGGTTGTTGTTAGCATCTGGAAGATTACTACTACTACCTGTAGCAATCTAACTAATATTTCTCTTCATATATGTATAGGCCACTGGTTCTTCTCATGTTGGCTCGGAATCGACCAGTGATGACTATGCCACATATGGCCACGATGAAGACAATCTCAATGCCGCATATAGAGCTGCAATGGAAACACTGAACTGAAACCATGAATGAAGGTGGGAGTCATCACAAACAGATAATGTCATTTTGTGTTTGTAGAAGCTATTGGTAGTTGCCACTTCTAACCTTTAGATAGTAAAGGTGCAGCCAACAAGTTGATGCCAGTTTTTGGGAAAGACAATCAACTAGTTGATGCTTTTGTGAAATTATTATTTATGTAGCTGTGGATACAAGAACTATGGACATCTTAATTATGTAGTTGTGGATGCAAGACCTATGGGCATCTTAATTTGTGGCTGTTGATGCCAACCGTGGGCATCTAATCTATATGTATGGCATGTGGATGATGACAAATTGATGCAATATATTTGTGTTCTAGTTGAAAACCTTATAGAATCAGATGTCATGTTTGTGCCTATACTGTTATCATGAATATCGTATGAAATTATAAATAAATGAGGTGCTTCTATGGCCTGGTGACTGCAATTATTTCCTGTCGGTACATTATAATTATACTGTCGGGAGAGGATGATAGGAAAACTATAATTCTCCTATCGTGGCTCCGTCGATAGAAAAACCAATATTTCCTGTCGGTACGAGTTTATTTTTCTGGCGGTTCAACACCGACAGGAAATTTTATTCCCTGTCGGTACACATATTTTTCCTGTAGTCATTTACCGACAGAAGCAAAATTCTAGACTTGGCGACCCACAATTTTCCTGTCGACGCCCACCGACAAGAAAAATAGTAAACCGACAGTAAAATAATACAACCGACAGAAAAAAGTTATTTCCCTGTCGCTTTAGTTCTGTCGGAATTTTCCTATCGGTATACCAACAGAAAAATTATTTTTAATTTTCCTTGTCAGTTTTTTGCTTTTTTCTATCGGTTTTTTACTGACAGGAAATTTTTGGTTTCCAGTAGTGTTTCCAATGTCCGGAAAGAGAGCGTCCAGAGCGCTTCGATGTTGGACGCACTCTGTCGAACATCTTGTCAAAGTCCTCCAGCTCCGACGCGAAGGGCGCTGATGGACCCTTGGTGTAGCCCATATTCTGCATGATCAGCACCTCACCTCGGTTGAAAGCAGGTACTCGAGGGGCTGAGCCGCCAACCGCCTGCTCCGCAGCGGCAGCACTGGCTTAGCAGGAGGTGCTTGGGAGGCTCACGAATAAGCGGAGAGTCGACCTTCTTCAGCACGCGCCTGATGAAGCTCTTGAGGCGTCATGCGGCCGTCCACCGTCCATAAAAGAGAGCATTTCTTGCTTTTCAAGAAGTCAAACCATTTAAAGTTTTACTAAAATTATATAAAAATATTTTCATAGTATGTCTATTTGATGTCATAAGTCTTTATAATTCTCTTTATAATTTTGGTCAAAGATACTTTGACTCTTTAATAAAGTTGGAACGACTTATAGTTTGGGACTGAGGGAGTAACTTTTATGATACAAAATAAATATCATTACATTAGTTATAAAATATATTTTTGTACTAAACTTAATTAGAGACGTAAATTTTCATACTATTCACTATAATTTCAGTCAAAGTTAAACTAGTTCGACCTTCATGCAACCCAAGTTCTATATTTTTGGACGGAGGGAGTACCATCCTATATTGGAATTGGTGAGCTTTCCCGGTCAAAGATGTAAAATCAAGCATGCATACACATGCTTGTGGATTGAGTTAGTGGAGAGGCCATGAAAGTGATATGGTATAGTTGCAACTAGCAACTAAAAAGAATCAGTAGTGGCCTCATTATGTGCTCAAGGGAAGCACATAAAGGTCAAAGACAAATTTTGGCATGCTAGTATCTTGACCGCCCAATCAATTTGCAACGAATTCTTTTAACCAACTCTTTCTCTAAATAAAGAAACAAAAGTGCCAAGATGAAGTGTACTACCATAGTAAAACGTTTGGTATATATAGAATTGCACATCCACCATATCTGATCCCATATAACTGCCAAATTCTTGCAAGGCAGACTTTGACACTTATCCAGAAAAGACATAAGAGGTTACCAGCCTGTTCGCTTGTTGGTTTCAGCCAGTCCAAACCAGCCAGCCAACAGTGTTTTTCTCTCACAAAAAACCAGCACCACCCAGCCCAAACCAGCACCAGCACCAGCACCAACCAGCGAACAGGCCCTACATGTGGTGGTAGCTGGCAAGGAAATCTGCAAGCTACACGATGTGCAATGTAATCAAATCACACCCAGTCCCAACTTTGAGCTAGAATTTCATGTCCGCACTCCACACTCACAGCTTCACATGAAAGGGTAACTCCTCCACGTGTAAGATTCTATCATTCCTAAAATTGGAAACTGACATCGTACTGCTACAGAAATAGTTTTCGCGAATGGCATTTTCCTAGCTGGTTTTATTGAAACTGACAGTGACAACATAATTTTTTTCTCGGATACGCAAAAGGCTTGTGTATCTTTTGTATTAAGGTTGAAGAGTTTTGAGAATTACAGTGACGCGCCGCACTGCAGACGCACTAGGGGGACATGAAATGTTATAATGTGCTCGTTCCAGCCTAGCGTACTTAGTCTAATGGTACTACTCCCGAACAAGACAACCAAGGTGCCGTGCCCCCACGTCAATCCACAGGTTGGCGAAGTGTCCATCAAGGGCAGGAGTTGCATTGTGTTTGTTGATTCATCTCAGAAGCACCTGGCATTGCGCTCCTTCCACAGCTCCCAAGCCACGAGCGAGAATAGCGAGTCGTCACCCTTACTCTTGTTCCCTCTCCAACATTGTCTCCATGATCGCCACCAAGAAAGGATGGTGGCTCCTCCGACCTGTGAGTCATCTGCACCGAGCGCGGAGAGAATATTCCACCAAATTTGTCTGGAGAATGAACATGAGGCGATGATGTGATCGATCGTCTCCGGCTCCTGATCGCAAAGGAAGCAGTTTTCCGTGGCGTCCAGTCCATGGTGTTGGCGCCTGTCTGCTGTCCAATGGTGCTGCCGAATCGCTAGCCATAGAAAGAGCTTGACTCTTAGATCGAGGAGCTCATGTTGCCCAGATTCGTTCGCAGCCCTGTATTGGGTGCGATGTCGAGTGGAGGGCCTTGTATGCCGAGCACGAGGAGTCTGTGCCGTCTGCTGTCCACCGCCAAACGAGACGGTCGTTGTGATCAGCAAGCTGCACGTCACGCACATGGTCCCAGACGTTGAGATACTCCTGGACTGCCGGTACCGTGAGCCGGCCGCCAATCTGTCTGATCCAGTTGCCATTTGGCAATGCTGAGGCTACTGTCTCCGAGCTGATGTGCCTGAGGCTGACGAGGCTGATTAGTGTCGGCGCCATGTCCTGTATGGCCTTGCCTTGCACCAGCGATCTGTCCAGAACAACGCTTTGCTGCCGTTGCCGAGTATGGTGTAAGTGGATGCTCTGAAGAATGCCTGGACTTCGATTTAAGAACATATTGCTCTGTCCAGAACATATTGCCATCGGTTTGCAATACAACGTCGTTGAACATCATTTTCACCGCTGTTCAGCATAAGACCTGATGGTGATGAATTTTTTTAGTTGCATATAATTTGTAGAAAAAATATTTTCGAAAAATATTTATAGTGTGATATAAGCGTAAACTATGAATATCTTACCATATGAATCCTGCTACCAAAAGAGGGCCAGGCAGCGTGGCCACGTCGCCTGCTTTTCCTGGCCATTGGATCGGCCGTGCCAGTTGGTGCGAGCCCCGGTCTTTTAAAAAAAAAACCTCGAACTTTAGTGGAATCAACCCTCAGGTCTCGTCTCAGTTTTTTTTTTCCAAAAAAAGCCCTCGACTTTACCGAAATCAACCCTCAATCCATGCCTTTACCGGAGCCATCGCGAAGCTTCGTGGGAGACGCTCGTCCCCTCTCCCCTCCGCCTCCTCCGCCGGACCGCCGCCCCCACCCCTGCTCTCCACTCCAACCTCTGCTTGCAGGGTCACTAGAGCGGGCTTGAATTGCGGTCGCCGATGAGCTGGCGCGACGGTGAGCTGGCCCCTCGCGACAGGCGGCGAGGCGGGGATCTGGCGGCGGCTCCCAGCCTGTGGGTGCGGCTGACCGCGGGTCGCCGGCAAGCGGCGGCGCGCAAGCCACCGCCGCGGGTCCCTGCCACCGACGAGCTGGCGAGGTAGCGGGCTCCAGACGCCACGGGGGCTCCTGGCGCGGCAGCGGGCTCCAGGTGCGGCGAGACCGGGGTCGCGACGACAGAGCCGCGTGCGTCCGGGGCCGGCCGCGCACGCGCCGTGGAACCGGCTCATCCTGTGCCGAGGCGAGGTGGCAGGGCCACGTTTCCGCATCTCCGTCTGCCGTGGCGCGTACTGAGGCGTGCATCCCTCCTCCCGCTGCTTTCGCATCGCAAGCTGCACGTCGCCGCCGGCCGGATCCCGCACCGGAGAACCGGTCACGCCCACGCCAGGGAGCAGCCGCGCTGGTGGCTGAGGGTGCCTCACCCTGCCATGGCTGGCGGCCGAGATGGTCCGTTCTAAGCCGCCATGCCCCCACAGCGCTCCGCTCTTGCTGGGAACCAGTCTCCACTTCCGACCTCGGTCGCACGCAAACCACGCTGCCACATCAAGGTGTCCCTTCCCAGCGGTCTGCTCTTGCATCACTACAGCCTGCACCGACTGCGGCTGGATGCGGTCCCGAAGCCACCATTTGTCACCACTGCAGCCACGGCCACCATCATCTCTGACACCATGGTTGGCGTCCACCTGGAGACTGCACACAAGTGTTCGACGATATGTCTATGAGGTATATCCTGGTGAGTGCTAACATGCCTTTTTTTTCTCTCTTCTCTTTACTCTTATACAAAATGCAAGTAAACAGATGTGTTAATCTGTACTATGCTCTGAATATTGATAGATTGAATCCACATTGGTGTAGAATTTTAATCAGACTAAGAGTATCTTCTCAAACATGGTTCTAAAAAATTAAGAAGGGTGTGCACTATAGCTGCAAATAGTTTACAATAAACTGTAAAAACAACATGGATAGGATCACGATAAGCAGGATAGCGAGATTATGTTACAAAGGATGTCTTAGAATTTTGGTTATAAATCGGTTTTTTATCGTAGTGTTCTATATTCAAGTATATTCTCCTTTCACCATTAAACAATTTTTTGAATGATTTAGACATTTAGTTACTACTCCAGAAAAAGAACAGCAAAGGCTCTGAAGGTTTACTCTGATCAATATTGACATTAATAAGATGATACCTAACATCTTTGAACTGCATAGGCCCAATCCTTTCAATAACATGGAGCAGTACCTTATAAATATGAAGGATACTTCTTTACGGTGCTTTTCTTCACTACTAAATTCTTAATACAGCATCACTTTAGTTAGGGGCATATATTCTGATATGTTAGAAGAATAAAGAAATATTATCGTACCAGAATCAGTCTTTGCTTGATAATGAATTGATGTTTGGATGGATAATATGGGGTCGGTATTATGAATGATAATCCACTGAATGATCACAAAGCCTCACAGTAAGAGATTAGGCCATGAGTTTTAGTAATCCAAGGAGATGCAATTTGGAGACACTATCACCTTTCTACCTCTACTATATTAATTTTTGGAGGCCACCGATGATCAAAATCCCAGTCTTTATCTTGCTGAATGTTTGAAACAAACAACCGTATTACCACCTAAGACTCCAAAACGAAAACATCTTATCAATTCAATGCTGAACGTCTAGTTGTCTCTGTACATGTATGAATGCAACTGGTACCTTGCCGAAAGTAAAATGTAAATTACAGAAGGGTTAGCAAAACAGGAATGCAGTTTTAACAGGAGCAAAATTAAAACCTTTTATGGTAATGGTGCAGACTGCTATCAACTTGTCACGCCAACCCCAAGCACAGTAATACAGTATGGAACTGCAACAAAAGGATTTTGGTAGCATTGTCAAACAATGGGAGATTGGGAGGCTACCGCAAGAATGGAGAACCAAATCGGTGGCCTCTCAGATTTATAGGAGACATGTCAAGAGAATCGCTGGGATGTGATCTGTCGGGCATGAGGAGGTCTTGTGGAGGATAATATATATGTCAAGCTAGGGTATATATATTATATCAATATTTAAATGGAAGAGGAAGGGTAGCTGACCGAATTAGTGATCCTATCGTGGTCTTTGCCTGTTGGTGTCCGTAATGGTAACTGAAGCCACTGCACGGGAGCCAAAGCACATTCTATGAAGAACACTCTGGTATAATAGTGATGGTGGTTGAAATAATAGTGATGAAGTGGAACACTCTGGTATAAGATAGAGCTTAGCAGTGGGGTTTTCCTTTATAAGAGATATAGATAAGCTAACAAATATTGAGATTGATGAAGTCATTATAGGCGGGCATGCTGGGTAGTGTCTATCCTTCACTATCGACGGACACATTAGGTACCATTTCCTTCCATATTTTATTCAGTTTTACCTTTTGCTAGAAATATCCAAAAAGCAGTAGCAGCAGAGATGAATCTTTGTGAAGTGTTCCTCCTTTTTTTTTGGCAAAAGAAGGTGTTGGCAAAAATTGAACTGATAAATAAATGCAAAGATATTGGCAAAACACTACAATTTGGATGCAAATCATTTATTCAGAAATCATTGACAACAATGCTGCTCTGCAGGTACATAACTATCATATCATCACTGAGTTTCTGTGTTTTAGCTCCTAATAACGTGCATAACAGCATCACAACATGCTGCCCTCACTGCTTAGCGTTGTGACTTAGCAATTTGTAGATTATTTCGTGGCCCAAGTCTTCTGTATTTATTCCAATTTTACTTTCTGTTTGGAATGATCTACAGATCTCTTTTCTTACAAGAGAGAAATGCAACCAATAGTTCTTACAAGAGTATGCTAGAGAGATGTAAGTACGTTCTCATCTCAAGCCCTGATTTAAGAGTTCATGTTTCATGATTTTGTATGCTTAAAAATCAAATCATGTGAACCTGTGAACAAGAAGATTTAAGGAAAAGTACACTAAGTATTTATTAACTATGCTACGAAGCTATTAGTCATTTTTTTAAGTTTAGCAGTTTGACATGATTACAACCTTCTTAATTCTATATACAATATAGCTCATTTCAGCTATATTTTTTTAGGTGCACTGCTTATATTGAGCCACTGGCCAAATTTTTACAATCAATTGAGGTTTGTATCCATGGTATTGTGGTTAGTATGATACCATGACACTGCACATTGCTCACCATATTGTCTATTTTCTAATGTCCCTGTAGTTCTGTCATTATGGCATCTACTTTCTTACAATGATATATGCATGTAAAAGCGTGATTCTCTACTAATAGTTCATAATCCCCAGCCCATTTTATTGAGTTTACCCATCAAATTGTCAGGATCGACTATGCTTACAGCTACTATAATATCGACACTCAATAAGGATTATAACATCTCCCACATTTGTGATTCTGATAAGCTATCTGCATATTGTCATGTACCATAGTAATTTATTTTCTAAAAAAAATAATTTCTCATACATTTAAGGTACAGTAGTGGATATGTCTAATTTCTAAGTAGCCATGTTGCTAAATTATTGTTAAATTCAAGCCATGTGCTACATCATATACCTGATAAGAAAAAAGTTCAGTATTATGCAGTGATGATTACCATCCATCTGTCTATTTTCTTTTCTCAACTAAGGTAAATGGGAATATGCAATGATGATTATCACTCTTTTATGATCTTTCTATTGTACTTTTTTTTTTGAATTGAGGCATTTGGCATATGCAGTGATGAGAACCATTAGATGTATATGGTCCCTTCTTCTATTCTGAATGAACTGAGGCCATTTGGCATATGCAATAATAACCATTGCAGTCCTGTTGTTACTTTTATATGTAAGTTTCATTTAAAATAGCTATTAATTACGTTGGATATTAACAACATCACAATGGTTAACGTTGTAAACAACATACTCATAGACATGTTCATTCAATTTATTTTTTTTGGTAGCTATTTCAGCTCAGAATTATAAACTGTTACTGCCTCGATTAAGTTTGAAGAAAGGAGTGAAGTGCTTATTCAAAAATAGACATGATCCTTACCATCAGCTAGGTGAAAATCGAAATGTTCTTTGATTTTGATGCTACTTCATAAGGGTAGCTTAGCTTTAGTGCTTCACAAAATTCATCTCTCATAGTGATCGGTGTTCCTGTAGCCATTTTTTTTTGGCAAGATCGAAAAATGCATATTTCAACAAAGCATCCAATTCGAAATACAAAATATCAATTGAGGTTGTGCCATGACCTGAGCAGATCACTTATTAGTGATTATCGATTCTATTTCACTACATAATCTAAAAAGGGTCAAAACCAAATGAATAAGTACTCTCTCCATTACAAATTATAAGTCATTCAAATTTTCTTGGAGAGCTGAAGCATCTAAAGTTTGATAAAAAATCATATAGAAAATTAAACATCAAGCAATGTCTCCCGAACGATCAAGCAGGAACTGTTGGTCTCTTTGCAGCACGATCGGCAATCCACCCTTTCGGTCGGCATTTGGCTCTCGGAGATAAGGCCACTACCAATGAGTCATATGTTATATTTTCCATCTCGATACATGGCCACCGCCAATACTACTCGCAGGTTCTCTACTGGAATAGCCCTAGCTGGCGCAGCAACGCCGCGCCCATGGTTTTCTAGTATATAATCTAAATTACTCCTTCGCTGGTGTTGTTGATGTGGCACCATGTTTCATAAAACCGTCGTCCAAAATCGTTAAATAAGGTGTAAAAAGAGACAGTTTAAAAGTCGGAGAGGTTAAAATCTGGTTTTATAAACTATAAGGGGAAATTAAACCGACTGTGTCTTTGGTTTTATAATGGACTTTCCTAACCGAAGACATGTTCTCTCGTACAAGGGGATTATATTGCTTCCAGGGGCAGGCTCCACCGTGGCTGGGCCCTGAATCTAGCCGTTTACGATCCAACCGAAAGAAGCCCACAAACATTGACGGACGTCCGACACTGCGTACGTATAACCGTTCCGTCCGCATCCGACTTCCGATCCGACGGTAGCGAAATAAACCTACTCCGGAGAAAACACAGTCGGTTTCAGCATACGAGCCGCCGAGCTCTTCCTCATGTTCGCCGCCTCATCCGTCGCGGGCGTGGGTGGAGTAGGTCCGACTGGTCCGTCGCCCTCCGATCCAGCGGCGGTGCACGGTCGGACTGCGCCCCGTTCGTTTGAGCAGCAAAGTCGGACTCCGCCCTGAATTCGAGATTGAGCAGCAATCATCACAATGATATAAAGCGCACGCACCTCTGCCCGCCGCCGCCTACACTCGCCACCACCAAGTCACCAACAAAAACAACGCCTACGCCGCCCCGGCTGCCACCATGGCTGTCGCTATTCTGGCCCCTCGGCGCCGCCCCCACGCCGCCAATGAACCGTCCAAAGAGTATCACCGAGGAGGAGGAAACGGCGGCAAGATGCGGATCGGCGTCGTCGACTCGTACAGGATCCTCAAGAAGATCGCCCAGGGAGGATACGGCGCCGTCTGGAAGGCACTGCACGTCGAGTCCGGCGAGCTCGTCGTCATCAAGTCGAGCCTCCACGACGTCGGCGAGGCGGCGGCGCTGCTGCGCGAGGCCGCCATGCTCGCCGCGTGCGCGGGCAACCCCGAGGTGGTGCGGCTCAGGGAGGTGGCGCGCGGTCGGACATGCACGACCTCCACCTCGTCATTGAGTACGTCGTCGTCGGCCGGAGCCTCCAGGACGTCATCACCTCGCTCCGCCGCCGCCATCGGCACCATCACCACCCGTTCTCGTAGTCGGAGACGCGCCGCGTCATGGCGCAGCTGCTGGCCGGCGTCTCGACGATGCATGCGCACGGCGTCGTCCACCGCGACCTCAAGCCCGGGAACGTGCTCGTCAGCGCGGAAGACGGACACCTCAAGATCTGCGACCTGGGTCTCGCCACGTCCGTGGTCGCGCCGCTGCTCACGGACGACACGGATCCCGAAGGCACGCCTGGGTACATGGCGCCGGAGCTGCTTATGGGCGAGAAGGACTGCGGCGTGCCCGTCGACGTGTGGGCGCTCGGATGCAACATGGCGGTCCTCGTCACCGGGCAACCGCTCTTTCCGGAGGAAGACTTGGGTCAGCAGCTCATCAGCATCGTCAACCTCCTAGGGATCCCAGACGACGTCTCGTTGATGCCACTGGGTGTCTCGGGGCCCAGCAAGCTGCGCGAGAGGGTGCCGAAGGAGAGGCTGTCGCAGGAGGGATTCGACGTCTTGGAAGGTCTGCTGGAGTACAACCCCAAGGACAGGCTCACCGCCGTTGACGCGCTGAAGATGCCGTGGTTTGCAGCCAAAGATGACTGACGGCGGACGTTGCAGCAGAGACGCGAACATGACTGCTGTAGTGTTACGTTAAGGTAGTTTGATGTACTCTAGTTAGATTAGCATTATAGTTATTTTATTTCGAGATTATAGAGGTTTGTTATTTACAAATATAAATGTATCGTACTTTATGGATATTGATTTATTTTTTTGCAACAATATGTACGATTATTTACATGTAGATTTTAGAGATTTTTTGTTTATTTTTTATAATGACTAAGGTACATACATACAAATATAAAGGTAATATCTTTTATTACGTTTCACAACAACATTGCATTATCTTTCATTACGATAAAGGTGGATAATTTATAAAATTGTTAAGAGGTATTTTAAATTATCTTTCATAATGGTAGATGTGGATAATTTAGATATGCAGTCTGAGGATTATTTCATATTATCTTTCATAATAACAAAGCTTGGTAATTTAGACGCAATGTTAAGAGGTTATTTTAAATTATGTTTTATAACGGTCGAGGTGGGTAATTTAGATGCAAATTTAGGGGGTTATTTTAAATTATTTTTTATTATGTCAAATGTGGGTAATTTATATAAAAAATATAGGGGGTTATTTGGAATTGTCGTTTGTAATGGCAGAGGTGGGAAATTTAGATGCAAAATTAGGGAGTTACTTTATGTATTTATCATAACGACAGTGGTAGGTAATTTTTTAATAAACTACAATAGATCCAATGGCTATTATCGGTGAAGATGATTAGAGTTTATCAAATCAAAGGCTAGATGTTTCTGATTTTTGTGAGAACTTCTAGGATTTATCTTTTTTTCCTAGCACGTCTAGTGAGAATTCACTTGGTGCGTCCGTTGAGGCTTCTAATCAGTAATAGTAAGACTGTTGTTGCTCATTTGGTTTTTTGGACGTATAATCAGATTTCTCTTCGCCGATTCTCACTCACGAAGTAATGGTTTTTGTCCAGTGAAGCAATAGTCATGATCTATCTCCTCATCAAACAAAGCAACCATTGACATATAAGTACTCTAAGTATTACAAATTCTAAAAATAAGAACAGTCCAATAGGATTTCTACTCGATCCCAACGCTTTGTTATCTCGGGTACTTTCGCTATGTTGTGGTCTACTTCCTCTGTCCCTAAATAAATCAATTCCTAGAATCCATGCCAGTCAAACTTTTTTAAGTTTGACTAACTTTATAGAAGAGAATAACAACATCTATGACATAAAATGAGCACCTTATGAAAATATATTCTCTAGGAAATCTAATGGTACTAATTTTACGCCATAAATCTTAATGTTTTTTCAAGAAATTCTGTTAAAATTTAAAAAGTTTGACTTAAGACAATTCCAGGAATCTATTTATTCGGGGACAGAGGGAGTAATTATGTTAGCACCTCTAATTCTCTAAGCATTATAGATCAGTGGTGACGATTCTCCAATCCTCACTATCTATGATAAAATCAGGCACCGTCACAAAAAAATGTCATAGAAGAGCACAGGGTTTCGTCGCAGATCACTCGCGCGACTCATCTGTGACGATCTCCTTTAATACTGTGACGAACAGGGTTTCGTCATTGAACTAATTACTCATCTGAGAATGATATTCGATCTGTAACGAATGGCGCTTCGTCATAGATCTCCACATGGTACTTTCTTCATCTGATGTGTACCTGTGGGACCTACAGTTACTCATTCGTGACACTTGCAATTCGTCATAAAAGTCTCCGCTCGATCCTTTCTCCATGCGACGTGTACCTTTGGGACCCTTCTTCATTCGACGTGTATGTTGGCATTTCTTTGCACAATCACCAAGTGAGGAGGTTTTAAGTCCATCGTCGGTAACGACGCCAGAAATGCTTGTTGGCATTTCTTAGCACAATCACCAAGTGAGGAGGTTTTAAGTCCATCACCGGTAACGGCGCTAGAAATACCTATTGGTATTTATTAACACCATTACAAAGATTGATTTAATCTTAGCAACGCCGCCAACAAACACAAACTACGATAGTCCTTAAAGATTACAGACATTATCCGCAAGTGTACGGATCTATCGTTGTAGCATTTCACCCGAAAGTATTCAGGGTATCGTTATTTATATTTTCCCAAAGGAGGGCAAGGTATATATATTCTAGCGTAGACATAAACATGATTACATACTTGCATAGTGGACCATGTTTCATGACAGGGGTAAAAATGGTATTTCTTGGATAGTGGACACATATTTGGGCCAACCTCAAGGATAAAAGGAAAACAAAGAATAAAAGAATATTCCTAAGTGGAGCAGGCATGTTCTAATATAGCCATGTAAAGAACAGTTGATAATCATACAATGAATATGGTTAGAGCTAGAACTAAATGTGAGATAGGTCGGGAGGCCACCGAGTACTGGTCTGCCGGCATCCTCATGTGATAATTTAGACTCCTACACCCTACTCGAACTTGGGGGTTACAAGGGACGGATAGGGCTATCACCACCTGCCTCCTACCCCTCAACCGTGAGTAGGAAATGCATTCACCTGTTTCTCCATACCCAAGCACCATGCTTGCGTACACAGAAACTACCCAAATTCCCCGAGGTCCTTGACCCTATGGATCGACAGGTAAAGAACTTGGGCACACCCGAAGGCACGATGAACCGCCACCTCAACTTAGCTCTAATTAGACTCATATAAGTCATATGAATGATTAAGCATAAAGTTGAAGATGTCAAGATCATAACACACAAACTATATACTAGCTCATATATCATGATTATAACATGAGAACTATAGTCTAGTTCATATGCACTACTATATGAATGATATGAGAACTTGAATATGAAATAACTCTTCATAGTATTATTCATACCAAAGTTGCTCTTCTTCCAAGGAGACAAGCTCTCCATGTAGCTTTTGCCTTGCTCACAAATACTACTAAAAGCTAAAAGAAACTAAGAGGTGGTAGTGAGGTAGAGGCTCCAAATGATTGTGTGTTGAAGGTGAGCTCCACCCTTTCTTATATAGTTGCTGATGGTCGGTTTGGCCTCAGTAAAATAGGAAACCTTCGCCAACCGGCCAAGCATGCCGCCATGCAACCACCCCAGAAAAAAGCTGGGCCCGAGTCAGTGCCACTTTGGGGTGCGAGCGCACCACAGGTGCGGCCGCACCCTAGCTAGGCTTGCACTCGCCACCGCCTTTGCCGGTGGGCTGGTGGTTGGGCCCGGCCTCTTCCACGTTGGTATTCGCAGATGTAAGTTGTGTAGGTGAGCTTCTCTTCTTATTTCTTACAAGCATTTCGCTTTTACGCATATACATTTGCGCATTTTGGTATGTTTTCCACTTGTATTCAAACTTGTGACCTACATAACATGTTTCTCAAATACAAGTGGAACTAGGTGTAGGGGACCGTGACGCCTAAGACGGGGGGTGAATTAGGAAACTTAAAAATTCTAACTCTAAACTATGGCCTCTTTTTCTAACCTTAGCAAAACCTATACAAAAGATAAACTATCTAAATGTGTAACTACGGTTTTACTAATGTGTTTCTATCTCTACCGCAAGAGGAGTAATACAATTAATGTAAATACGGAAGCTAAAGAGCAAGGTAGAGATATGCAAACTCCCGTCGATGACTCCGGTATTTTTACCGAGGTATCGAGAAGCGCGCAAGCTTCCCCCTAGTCCTCGTTGGAGCCCCTCGCAAGGAATCCCTTGCAAGGGCCAAGCTCCCGGTCGGGTAACTCCGTGGATAGCCTTGGGCCTTCCCCACGCGCAAGTGGGTCTCCGACGTGTCTTCCGGCAAGCCTCTCCCGGATGCTCCCCCCTGTCTTCACTATCAAGCTTTCAGCCGAAACGTCGTGGGCCTTGTTCCCTCCGGTACACGGTGGCGGCCACACCACAAACGCGGTTGGTGTGATCTCGCAAGACTACAAGCCCCTCCGATGTACAACAATGGTGCGCGCAAGCACCGAGTGGTAAGAGGTATGCAAATCTCACTAAACACTAGGCCTAAACCTAGAGCAAGCGCATAAGCGGTGGTCTAATCAACCTAAGCACTTTGCAAAGCACCTACGCTAATCACCTAATAAAACACTAAGCATTATGCAAGTGGAGATCACTAAAATGGTGTATCAACACCCTTGGTATGTTTCCTCAGCTCCACATGACTCATTTGGCCGGTTTGGGGTTGTATTTATAAGCCCCACGGAGAAAGTAGCCGTTGGGGACGAAATCCCGCTTTTCTGCTACTGACCGGACGCTGATCACATCTTGACCGGACGTGTCTGGTCGTCCCGACCATTGGAGACACGATCCACTGATCGGACGCTGCCAGCGTCCGGTGACATGCCACCGGACGCGTCCGGTCGCATTTTCGCCGCTCTGGAACCTCTCTGTACTCGACCGGACTCTTCTGTCCTATGTTCGATCGATCTGCCGCCAGCGTCTGGTCATGCCTGTTGCCGAGCCTCTTGATCGGAGCATCCGGTCACTTTCCTCCAGCGTCCGGTCACCTCTATGAGCTCGTTTCTTTGCGATCTTGTGTACAGCTTGGTTCCTATCTTCATGCTTGGACTTTGTTTGATATCTTGGATCTTCTCTTGTGCTTCTAGGGTCTTGCTTATGGTGTTGATTATCGGATCATCACGTCGCCTTCGTCCAAGTCTCGTCTTGCATCCTATTGAACTACAAAACAATCACTTGTAAATTCATTAGTCCAATTTGGTTGTGTTGATCATCAAACCCCAAAATCCAAAGTAAATGGGCCAAGGGTCCATTTTCCTTACAATCTCCCCTTTTTTGGTGATTGATGACAACACGACCAAAGCAAGCAAATAATAAAAATTTGGAATTTAAAAACTATCTACTTGCTAGGATGCAATACAAGGGGCAAGGTTATATGATGCTAAAAGATACTACTTGTAAGACTAAAAGATACTACATATAAACTTATCTTGACCTTGCAAATGTCCCCATGTGGCATTATGGATATAAGCCTTGCTTCCTACAAATTCTCCCCATTACATCGGCTAAT